ATAGCTTATATATATTTCGAGCCACGAAAAAGAGAAAGAGATAGAGAGGGTGACAATTTAATTAGATAGATTCTAGACAATTGAGCATGTTCGTTGAACCTTAAATGAAATGTAATTGTAGCACCTGAAAACAAGCAACCTTTCATACATTGTTTGATTAATTACGCTTACTTAGAATATTTGCCAACGAGAACAAGTTTTTTTCAGTTCTTGTAAAATAGATAATAGATTTATTTTCTATTCCTTAAGGAACCTATTCGATTGATAACAATAGTTGACAAAGAAGGATGTGTTGCCTATTATCAGGGGTACAGTACTTGTATGCAAGTAATATACAAAAATTTAATTCAAACAATCGTAATCGATGTATAACAATTTTCGCTTTTGAAATTTTTTTTCGAATTTGTTAATTTCGGTTTTTACACGAAGGTTGACATCATTCGATGTCATAACTCGCATATTTGTACGCATTTTAACGAATGTATTTCGTAGAATGCTTGTACGTATTTACACATTATAAATTTACACATATGGAATGTGTTAGTAGCGTATTTTTTGTTAGGTAATATAAATGTCGACGCTCCGGGGAAAACGTAGCTATTTACCGTGCGAATTTGGGTTATATCGTAGCATGATTGGTACGACGGTAGCTAGTTAATTTTTGTGGTACCGAGAAAAGTTGAAAATTATTTTCTAAATTTAATATAGTGTTTTCTATCTCTTTCTTTCTTTCTTTCTTTCTTCTTATTTTTTAATAAAAATAAAAGATAACTAATCTCTCAGATCGTACAAGAGTTATATATACATGTATGAACGTATGTGAGTATAAGTAGAAACTTTGGTTCTATCACAAGTTACCGAATGAAAAACTTTTAATAAAGCTAAAGATGAAGAAGTAGTATGACACGTTCAGCGTACTTACGAATTATTTGGGTCGAGTAAATAGTTCCTTTTGTATTTTTCTGATAGATAACTTTATGATTACATAACTTTGATTTTATTAATCAAACCCGATTTTAAAGGTGATATATCATATTGAGCAATTCATATAAAAAAAAAAGTAACGATATTTGTTTATTCAGTTACAAATTATTGAGTATTGAGCGTGTATTAAAATAAAAGAAGAAATTCGATACACATTTGAAAAGTTTATTACTGGTGAATCAATTTGTGATGTTTATGAACACGATGCACAGTATCGGTACGAGAGGCAAAAAACTTGTTCGAGCATTTTCAATTTGAAAATTTTGACGACAAGGATGTACCTCTCGTTTTGATCGATAAATCGGTAGAAACAAATTGATGAAATGATGGAAACAATTGAACAAAATTGACAAATTAGCAATCGTGATATCGTTAAAGAACAAAACATCGATCACAAATTATTTGAAGAATGAATGGACGATACAAAAATATGAACACAATATTCGCGTTTTCCATTTCTATTATTAACTAATAAAAAGGTTTTGTTAAGCTGGCGAAAAAGTAAAATGAAACAAAAATGGGTCACTTTTCTCATCAAGATGCGAAATAGAATTATATTTATGTGAGAGGTATCCCCCCTCCCTTCCTTCTTTTTTCGCGTAATCGAACGAAACGAGTAATCTGAATGATATTTTTCAGCGTTAAACCGTGGTAGGTAGTTACGCGAGGAAGTAATGACTTAAGCACTAAAGTCAATCGGAGTAGAGGTAGAAATGGTTTATGGGTTTAAACCGTAGAACCACAACGCGAATAGAATCCTTATTTACCGTACCGATACGATCGTAGACTAGCAATTTTATCGGATCGTTCTCCTCTCTATGGGGGTGTAGGAAGGGGATGAGAGGGAGGTTAGAGGGAATGTTCCCCCCGCTGTTTCTGAACTTTTCTGAACCTCTATAGCCGGTAACTCTCGTGACAATGACAGTTTTAGTTCTCTTGTATCGGTGTTAGTGTACCATCGCGATACTCGATGCAGGGTTATCGAGAAAAAGAGAAACAGAAAGAGAAAGAGAAAGGAAAATAGAAAAAGAGTAAGGGAGAGCAAGAGAGAGAGAGAAAGAGAGAAAGAGAGAAAGAGAGAGAGAGAGAGTGAGAGAGGTGCTTTGAGAGCGCTTATAAAAGCGCGTCTCGTAAAATTGCGACAACTGCGTCGCCAATGGTTATATCTATTGTCCTGGTCGAGTCACAGTAAAACTATACTCTTCTCGAAATGGACACTAACGTACGCTTATTCTTCCAACGACGTTGCAATTTCCGTGATTTCAACAATTCTATGGGGTTGAAACGTTTTCTTCTTCCATTTACAAGCCTTCCCTCCTTCCTTCCTTTCTTTATATTATTTTTATTCTCCCTACCTCTAGAAAACAAAAAAAAGTTTTTCGTTGTGCTCGTTGCATTTCTATTTCTTTCTTTATTTATTTATTTATTTCTTTTTTTTTTAAATCCTTGTTACGCGTATACCGACAGGACTTGAATACTTCGTCAAGAACGATGATAGTACAAATTGTTCGTCTCTCTACTTTTATTTCAATTTTACAATGCGATATATATATATATATATATATTTCATCTCATTTTCTTCTATAATTTGTTGTTTATTTAATTTGTATCTTCATTACGTTATCGTTAATTAATGTCTTTTTACGATGTCGTAAGTTATTTTTTATTAACACCACGAAAATGAAAGAAGGAAATAAACAAGAAAAGAAAATAAAAGAAAAGGAAGAAAGTAATAGGAGTAGGACGAGACGGGTGAAATCGTTCGTTTATCTCGTGAAAGATAACGTTATTTTAAATATATACACGTACGTAATACTTGAAAGGCGTTTCTGAGGAAGAAAGTTGGTTGGAAAAAGGTTTCTCTCTTTTCTTTTTTTTCCTTTCCTTTTCTTTTTTTTATTTTTTTCGTCTGTAGGTGCAAAAGAGGGAAAACTATACCCAACTAACGTAGCTCTTTTGTAATCTACGCGTATCCCCGTTTCTAAAGTCCTTTCTACTGTTACTTTTCGTACTTTTATCTTCGGTCATACATAATTTACACGACACCCGAGGCTAACGTCATGTAAGTCCACGTTGTATTTAAAGTCTTTTCCCTCTTACTCTATCTCTCCCTTTTTTTTTATTTCTCTCTCTCTCTCTCTCTCTTACGTTTTTTGTCTTTATCTGGATCGTTTTCTCCTCTATTTTTCATTCGTTCGGATTTGTTCTTTTATTTATTCTCCACGGAATATCACACGCGCGAATAATTTATTCAACCATAATTAACATTCTTAATCGTTAATCTAAATCTTTCCAAATAAAAAAATACATATTATATATATTCTTTTTTTTTTAGAACGAATATTTCACATTAATTTTATATGTTTCTAAAATCTTATAAAATCGTTGAAATATTTGTTTCATTATGTAAGCATCGTTCTTGAGTATACATACTGTTGTTATATCGTTAAAATTGGGACACAATTTTCTTCTATCTCTCTTTATCTGTCTTCCGTCTGCTGTGTATATGTCTTTCTCTTTAAAAATATATATATAATACATATCGTGGAATTTGTCGAGTTTAGTCGACGAAAAGCTGCATATTCTTGTATTATATTCAATCCCGTGTACGTTTATTTGTGCATCGGTGTGTGTAAGTAGGATGTACCAAGAGACGAGATTCGCTTATGAAAGTCATTCGTTCTTCTCTAAATATTTGGTTATTTTCATAACAGAGAGAAAAAGAAGATAGAGTAAGACAGACTGAGAGAGAAAGAGAGAGAGAGAGGAGAAATGCAACGAATTCAAGAATGACAAATGCATATTTCTTTGACGTGAGCAAAAGAGAGGAACGTGACTTTGGCCAAGCAGTCGCATAATATGTCGATAAAGAGTGCACGAGAAGGAGTTTCTGTTTTATCCTGTAACTCTAGCTAGACTACTTTTTACATATATATATACGCATGCATATGTGCACATGTTTGTACGTATATATATATGTATACAGATATATGTGCGTGTATTATAGATAGGGTTTGAAGAAGAGAAGAAAGGATAAGGAAAAAGAAAGATGGGTAAAAGGGTTCAACCTTCTTTCATCCCGTCTCCTCTTCTACCCCCCTTTCCCCCACTACCACTCCCACTCAAGACGACGACGCCTCGAGTGAACTTGAGAAGCTTTTTCAGATTTCTTCTCTTTTTCTTATTCCTATTTCTTTCTGTCTTTTCTTTAGATATTTCTCATCATCTTCTTCTTTTTTCTCTTCTTTTTTTTTTGCTATTTTTGACTGTTCTTTTTTCTTGTAATTTTTTTAATTTTCTTTTTACATGCTCAAGTGTTAGCGAATAATTTAATATCGATTTTATAATTTTTAATATTGTTTATGTTTGAAATTGATTTGTTATAAATAGTTTATGATAGATTGTTTAATTAATCGTAGATTTTTAGTTCAGTGTTGCTTACCTTCGTCATAGATGAATCGCAAAACTTTTATTATAGGAGGTACGAACATACTGTTTAAGATTTTTTTTTTCAAGGAGATAGAATCATGCGAATCAAGTTGATCATGTCCGATAATGACAATAAAATTATTAGTAATGAAAAAGAAAATATTCTCGCTCTATTCATAAATAAGATTATAGGATTTTTTAGCATCATCTTCAATATCCTTTATATTTTTTGATAGTTACGAAAGATCCATCATATTTTTGTAATTTTTCTTTATTCTAAATTTATGTAAAACTTTTTTCACATAATTATTTAATATCTTTTTTATTTTATTTATAATGGTTTCCTTTTTTTTTTTACGTCAATCTAAGCTTTGATACACGACGATGCACGAAATTGTTTTCTTAATCTTACGATACCGTGGTCTTTAAATGGTTTATTTTCAAAGGGATATAAAATTAAAAAAAAAAAAGAAAAAATGTTTAGCATAAGATCGGTTAAGGCAGGGAGTTACTTATTAAATAAAAAAAGAAACAAAGAAAAAAAAAACAAAAGAAAAAAGTAAGAAGAAAAGAAAGTAATTGCTTACCAATTTTTATAATTTTTATGGGTCGAGAAACACCTTGATTGTATGGGAGCAGCGTTAAGAGAGTTAACGCGATGAAAGGTAGAACGTTGCGTCGATACGAAGCCATAATAGATAATGCTGCCAGTCTGTGAAAAGAGAGGATATAATTTTATTAAGGCAATTTATTAGTAGAAACGTATAGGACGTTCACAACGCTTTATGAATATTATTTTTAACACTATCATACATTTAATCTTTAAATAGTTAAAAGAAGTACTGTATCTCGTATTATAACTTATTAATCGACCTTTGTACGCGCGATCAGAATATTTCACTTTTATGAATTTATTACGCGTTTACATATTTTTCTTTTTCATCTTTTTCGTTTATTTATTTCACATTGTTTTTTTCGTGTGTGTTCCTACGCTCGAATCGACTTTTGTACGCCATCGGAATATTTAATTTGATGAATTATTATTACGCGTGGGCGTAATTTTTGTTTTTTATTTCATCCTAGTTTATTTTATCCTATTTTTATTGGCTTTTTTTTTCTTTTTTATAGTGAATTTTTTTTTCTAATACGTTTCAGATAAAATCATGAATTTTATAAAAGAACAGTGGACCGGGCAACCAACTCTTATTTGCAAACATATTTTCTTTCAACGATTTTTCTGTGGATATTTCGAAAAATGTTTCATACGAGAAATATAACGTAAACAACTCAAGATTGATAGCTTCTTGCGGCTTGATTCATCCCATCATATATAGGGTCGAACACGCGAACCTATCATTCTTGATCTGTTTGCATGTAAATCTTCAAGGAGATCTCTGCGATATAAGGTTTTCACTCGTTCAACAAGAGATACGCTTCTTTCTACGATCTTGGTATTTTCATAGGTAAAGAAAGATTTGGTCAAATATTTTTTTTTATCGATATTTTACTTATTCAAAAATAAAAAAATCATTTCACGGTTTTTTATCTTACCGTTAAACAAAAATTATTATTTAATGTTTTATGCTAAGAATAGAAAAGGAAACATTGGCACGAGAAGAATCATTTGCTTTCTAAAAAGAATCATTAGTTTGCTAAAATTAGTTACAATCAAAATTCGAACACATTTGTCTTCTAATATAGATTATATTATAGAAAAATAAAATGAATATACATTGACAATATATTATTTTTTTAAACGATAGTGTACCGATTTGAAATTATACGTGATGGTGTTTGAAATAAAAAACAAAAATTGACACGAGTTACATTCGTTTCAATCAGTTAGAATTTTTCCAATAAAAATTAACAAGCACAACACATATACTAATTTCATATATATATTATTTATATAATAATAAAATGATATAACGAATAGCATCAATGTAGTTATTAAAAAATGTATTTTCTCTAATGACAAGTTCCAATCTTATCAAATAAATGATCAATTGAAGGTGTCTATTTGATATCTAGGGAAGCCGTTACAATACACATATATAATATATCATCAACATAGACATTTGCAGCCCTTTGTTCGTAATCTCGAGAATGAAGACGACTATCCAAGACAGTGTGGATTGTCAAGGTTTAACGATCGCAGGTCAGGACGATCAAGTTTGTAATTACAAGAGAAGCCATGCTTCTGACGGTTCACCGTAAACGACGACAACGACGACGGGGAGTAAGTTCTGTTCCATCTACTTCCGGTGAGAGACATACACTGATATATATACACATGCATATATGCGAATATATGAACATGTGTTAGTTAGAACATAGAACGTAGGAAAGATACTAACACCAGTTATCCAATGTCCACGAGTCGTAGTGAGCAAGCAGCTGTAAGGATGCAATGGCTGATGGCACGATGACACCTCAGTTACCCCCCTTTAACCAACCCAACCTCTCTACACCCTCTTTACACCCTCTCTACACCCTCTCTACCACTTTCCTTCCAATCCCCTATCAAGTCTATTTACTCCTTCTCATTCTCTCGTTCCTTCTACTCCCTTTCTCACTCTTTTTCGCATAGAGACTTTAGTCTCTAGTTCAGTCTAACGCTTCCACGTCAAATATTCGCACGTTAGATGCTCTAGTTGATCGATTTGATTTTTTTATATTTTTATTTTAATTCCTTCTTCTTCTTCTTCTTTTTAGTTAAATTTCATTTTTGTTTAATAATACGCTCGAGATACTTGTGATCTTTATTTTTGGATAATTATTTTTTATTTGTGATTCGTGATAATAGTGGTGGTGGTGGTGGTGGTGGTGGTGGTGTAGTTTCTTTTTTATAAGCGAATTTTAGTACGTTGCGGCTCGGTGTTTAAAATAAAAAAAAAAGATTGTCAATGTTCAATTCGAGTTGATGTTCTTTTTTTTATATTTCTTTTTGTTTATCTTTCAACGTGGACGTGAGGAATCTAATTTGTTTGGTTTAGAACATTTTCGGCAATTATAAATGAGTATAAAGTAACGTTGTTGTAATAGATTCGTGGTTAGCTTCTATGTATAATGAAATTGTCGAAAACGTCGTTAGAATGATTTGCATCACGTACAATAGTTTTACGGGACGTCGTTGAAAGACTAACAGGTAGACTTTCAAAATTTGCCTTGGTGGTGCTCTTTTAATTAAGGCCTTCGCTAATTAAATTCGTCTCCTAATTAGACGCAAGGAATTCCATACCACAACTCATCTTAATTTATTAGCTTCGGAGAGTTGGGAAAAATAGTATGAAGGACAGTTTTATTTAACGGATGAAAAATTCGACTACGAAATCACCAACGAATTGATCCTATTTTTATATTATTTATTTTTCAATGCTCCAAATCTTTTCTATTTTGTTTTTATATTTTTTGTTCGTCCACAACCAATGGAAATAAAATATCGATAGAATTAAAACTCGAAACTTTTGATCGATACTCTATCGCGTTATAGTTTTTGCTTTTCCATATTCACCGGTATAACTTTTATTTGTTGTTTTGATACTGGCTAGAAACAAAATATATCAATTCGTTAAACCCGGTGAAATTAATTTTAATTAAAAAATAATATTATACAAATGTGAAAATAGAGAGGATAGTTGGAATAAATTAACGTAAACATTGTTTCTTTCATTTTCTACACGCATCACGTTAGTAATGGGAATGAAACAATTAAAATTATTTTTTATTCTTTCATGAAAAAACAAAGAGGAAAAAAAAAATTTCAAAAGCTAAACACAAAAAGAACTTTTCGTGATTAATTATCTCGTATTCCTCGGTTAACAGGTTAACAATGGAACATCGTGGTACGCGAGTGAACCGGGAGTGTTGTGTACCGATAGAAAAGAAGGGTGGAAAGAAGAGAGGGGAAAGAGGGAGGGAAAGAGAGTGTCATTCAAAAATACTCCAGTACGAGTAATAACCAGGCAGTAGTCAACGTTACTTTCCGGATGTATGCATCAGTGCCACGTTTACGATCATAAATGTCTTCTTGATAGAGTATCGCTGGAATAAAACCGGTAATTTTCTTTTCGTACCTATATACTCTTACTCTATTCGTAATAGAATTCTAAATCTTAATCTACGACAAAACCAAAAGAAAAACAAAAATTGGATAATTCATGCACGTGCGAGTTGTTATGAAAAATTGTTTTCGTTTTATTTTTTTTTTTTTATATATAATTAATGAATAATTTAGATTGTATGTTTTTTCAACAAGATCCTATAATAATTTCAAAAATAAGAAAACATACAGAATGTTTTGTTATGCGTTATACATATTAAAATTATGTATTCATGGTTTAATATTAAATGTAAACAATTTGAACACGCATAAGCCTCAAAGATAATATGCTTGTTTTGAAAGTTATGATGTAAAAATGTAGAATTACATTTTTTAATTTAAATTTACACCAAGTATACGCACAGTTTTGGGATGAACGTTGCGATATGTGTTCATAGTTTTAAGAAGAGTGAGGGGGATACCGCATATAATTAAAATAATAAAAATAATTACTGGAAGAGAGAGTTTTTAATGAGAGTCAGAATTAATTGATAGAATACGATCGATACTTGGACGCAAAAGTAAAGTAATTTCTTATTCATTTTTATTTCACCATAAATTTTTACTTAGAATCTATCTCTCTCTCTCTCTCTCTCTCTCTCTTTCTCTCTCTTTTTTTTTTATTCTATGCACGAACGAACGATAACGGAAATTACAAGACGAACGGAGCGTAGTATTCTCATGAAAGGAAAGTTCACGATAGGGTCAATCCGTATTCTCGCATTACGACGCGACGACAACGTGGCAGCTTTGTTAAGTAAACAAGATCATAAAGCAGAGATAGTTTAATCAAACGAAAACGATCGTTAAATTACGTACTATATAATCCAGAACTTTGAATAAATATATGTAGCAGAATATTCATCTTCGTTCTATCTATTAACGAAATAAACATATAAAATTCTAATTTTTTTTCTATTATACTTTTCCTTACTATTATTCAGTCTCGTCTAATTAATTAATTATTTGTTTATTTTTAATATAAATAAATTACTATATCATCGTGTTCGCGATCTTTTCCTTTGATTGAAAGACGATAGATAATGAAATAGAAATAATAGATATTATCTTGTTTTTATTTTATCGAATATATTATTGAAAATAGAAAACACGGAGAAAGAAAGAGACGGGTAAAAAAATAAAATAAATAAATAAAAAGAGTGGGATATAGAGAAAAAGAGAAAAATTTCCCGCGCCTTTTTTTTTTCTTCTTTTTCGTCTCATAATTTCCGTTGGATAACGACCGACGGAGTCGTGAACGAACGAACGAACGAACGAACGAACGAAAGAACGAAAGAACGACAGAACGAATGATAGAACGAAAGAACGAAAGAACGAATGAGCGAACGATTCGCCATGTTGGAAAAGAAGGTCAAGATGAAAGAGAAGCCAAACAGCCGGCTTCGGTGCGACGCGATTTTTATCGGATACAGAAATACCCTCGGCCAGTGTACCCTCGTCGTCGAGAAATCTGTGTCAATCCTTCTTAATGATCTCCACTCGGCATTCCGAGTGAGAGATCGTAACGATCCGTGAGCGGTGAATTTGTCTAATTGACTTCTCTCCCTTCAAAGCCAACGGATAAGAAGATAAGAGAGAGAGAGAGAGAGAGAGAGAGA